TTAATAATTTATTTAAATTAATAATTACTTGTTCCTTTATATCAAATATCTTACATACCTTATATATAATGCACTGAAGATGAGTTATTTATAACTCGAAATAGCTATTTGCAAATTTATTTAATAAAAAATTTTTAAAAAACAATAAAATGTCTAATTTCTCTGAAATTAATAAATTAAAAAGAAATATAAAAAAGTTGAACAATGTTGAAAGTAGTGTTGAATTTTTGATATATATATATATATATATATATATATATATATATATACATATATATATATACATATATATATACAATATTTTATAAATTCTACCAAATGTTTGGCGTTAATATGTTTGTAGTTCGTTTTTTCAATTGAACATTCGGTAGAATTTATTTATAGAATATTTTAAAAATTATGGTCTATTACCAACATATATATATACACATATATATATATACATATAGATATATAAATATATATATATAAGATAAGTAAGATAATTATATGCGTAAATCTAAATGTATTTACTATTTTCATTAAATAAAATATTTCCTAATTCATGTAACCCATCTGAACGGAGATTGGTTGGATGAATGAATGTTTATTTGTTTTTGTCATTAATATTAATACTATTGTTATATATATATATATACATACATACATATATATATATATATATATATATAAGTAAGATAATTATATGCGTAAATCTAAATGTATTTACTATTTTCATTAAATAAAATATTTCCTAATTCATGTAACCCATCTGAACGGAGATTGGTTGGATGAATGAATGTTTATATGTTTTTGTCATTAATATTAATACTATTGTTATATATGTATATATAAATATATATATATATATATATATATATATATATAACATTGGTATCATCACTTTATTATTTTCATTCAATAATATATTTATACGAACGCGTATATTTACGATACAAACATATACAATCATATATATACACTTAAGCAAATATGTAGGAGTATGTATGTATGTATGTCGGATGTACGCTCTCATACCTCGTACAAAACATTCATACATCCCCTATTTATAACCACGAAATTATTACAAACAATGTAATAGAATACAACTGTGCAATAAACATATGTGTACCAATATAGATGTGATGTTTATATAATTACATTATGCATGTTTATATTCCGTTCACGTTGTCTTACAGTTACGTGCATGCGCGAATCGTTATTATAAAGTTTCATTAAAATGTTCCATTTCATGAGAGTTGCTGCTGTAGACATTGGCATCATCACATTATTATTTTCATCCTCGCGCTGCCTCTCCATCAAATCATCATCCTCATCACCGTCCTCATCGCCATCATCATCATCCCTTCATCATCGTCGTCGTCTTCTTCATCATTATCATAATTATTATTATTATCAACTTTACACTTCGTTGTAATTATAATTGTTATCGCCCAAATTTCGGGGTTGCATTTATGTTATAAAGTTAGACATTTTCTGCATGTCATTCATTCATTGATCTTAATCACTCGGGCATTTAACGGTGAAATATGTAATAAATGCTCTTCATAATTGTACTTCGTAATCATTTTTCTATTTCACTGTTTATAAACATTACCGCTTATTTGAAGGCTGGAGCGAATGCCTGGAAAAGATAATTGATTTGTAAACGGTTCCAAACAGCACTGTGAATCGTTGTAAAATTAATTTGCTGTTCAATTTTCTGGAAATGTTATTTATTCTAATCTGCTACAAATAAATGAAACTGCTTGCAGGCATCCGCATGCATCCGCATGCATTCCTTCGTTGTTATCGTGCTATGAAACGATTTTGATAAAATTTTAAAAATTAAATTAATGAATAATAAGTTAAATTCAACTTGATAATTCACTTTTGTAACTTTTTAAAACGACAATAAAAATATTTCTTACACAGTGGATTAGCAAAAGAGATTACAAAAACAGCAACAAGATCAACAACATCATCAACATCAACAACATCATCAACATCAACAACAACATCAACAACAATAACAACAACGTTAACCGCAATTAAATCCTAGAAACAAAAAACTGCAAACCACCACGTAGAAGCGAAAATGTTGGACAGGAAGTTGCGAGGACTCACAAGAGCAACAGCCGCCATTTCCATCCTAATATTCCTCCTCAACTGCTTCCCATCGACAACTCCCGCCAGGATCAAGCAACAAAGAACTTCACGCAACAATGGCTACCGCACCTCAACTTACGGAGAATCTTCATCTTCAATCAGTTACTCGTACACTAGCAGCAGCAGCAGCAGCAGCAGTAGCAGTTCTCAAGAAGCTTTCTACAAAATAGAAGAACCGGTGAAATGTTATAACGACAGTGGGTTCGCTCAGATGTGCAGCTCTGCGTTTGTCAATGCTGCCTACCTGAAAAACGTCGAAGCCACAAACACGTGCGGCGATAATGGCCCGGAGACCTTCTGCCCACGAACCGCTCTGGAGCAGCACCTACCAGCTTCCTGCTCCGTTTGTTACGCAGATTCCTTTCCGGCCTCCCATCTGACTGACCTGCACATGGTGGACCAGAGGACCTGGTGGCAGTCGAGCACCATGATGAAGGACATCAACTACCCCACCACCGTCAACCTCACCATCGATCTCGGTCAGTCACTTTTTGTCCACTCATGGGTCGGTCGGTCGGTTAGTTGCTAGCTGGTTCAAATTGTTGCTGGTCGTTGTCGGGTACCGTCCGGTTGGTCGGTCCGACTCTGGTTACTTATGATTACTTACTACTGCATTTGTTGCTCCGTTACTTGTTTCAAATTCATTCTGGGCTGCATTTATGCGAACAGTTTACACTTTATTTACACTACACCGAAAAAGCGATGATATTAATGATATCAACGTGTTTGATAGTTGGATGGATATGAGTTTTAGTAGTAAATTATTATATTCATTTATTTTTATTCATTTGTTTATAAAATAATTTGCAAGCTAGTCTAGTTCATCAAGCTAAACTGCTGAGAAACTTCAAAGACTACATACAAACAACATGCTTTTGTTATTATTATTGTTGCTGTTGTTTTGGCTGTTATGTATGTTGTTGTTATTATTATTTTTGTAACTTTTATTTGTTTTGGTTTTTATTTCAGATGTTGTTGCTTGTTCGTTCGTTCGTTTGTATTTTTTTATTAACAAGAATAATGTTGATGGTGTTTGATGCTGTCAGATACGAACATATCTGATAATTCAATTCTTATTACAATCATTCATATTTTTTAAACTGTTAGTTGTTGTTGTTGGTGGTGGTCGTTATTCGTTGCTGTTGCTGTTGTTTATTTTTGTTTTTACTGTTAAACACATTCTCTTTGGTCTGGATGAAAGAAAGTATGCATTAATTATCTTCACGCGCACATACACGTACACAAACATGCACACACACACACACACGCCACACATACATACGCGTACATACACACACACGTACAATACGATCTTTTATTTACTCCAAAAAATGAAGCCAGGATGGCTGCTTTGAAACTCATAGAGAGCTAGCTCATTTAGCACGGCCACCCGAACCCAAGTGTATACATATTAACGTAAGTCAAACAGAAAGTAATGAGAAATTTGAATTAAGTAAAACTGTATCTCTTTTTTTAAATATTTTTGTGTCATTTAAACTTAACAAAACAATTTTAAATTTTTTTTGAACGTAGCAAGTGATGTTTCATTGCAGGAGAAATCATTTTGTAAAATGTCATTCCAAATCATTAGTCTTCTACGGACAACACGAAAATGCAACAATTTGTTGTTCATCAGATGATTGACACGTCTAGGGTTGTTGACTACTTTAAAATATTAGCCAGACGTTGGAGGAAGCTTCTTGGAAAGTTGCTTGAAGACAAAAATGGCTGTGAAATATTTACCGATCTGATTTAAATTTAAATTATTAATAGTGGAGAAGAAAAGTTGACTTGTATGGGTGAGTTGTTTAAATAGCGTTATGACGTTAACCGCTTTCCTCATCAGAATTTTAGTTGAATTTTTATTTGTAGTTGAAGCCTGTCCACACAGCGTTACAATAGTTTATGAAAGGTGCAGATTGCATTATAAAGGAGATTCAAACATTTTTTTGGAAGGAAGAATTTTATTTTATTAATTATGCCTATTAAATGAGCCAATTTCTTAGAAATGTGCTGAATATGCGCTTTGAAAGTTAGTTCCTGATCTAAATACTCTCCAAGGAATTGAACTGTTTTACTTTTTAAATTTCGTTTGCATACATACATACACGTACACACATACATCACGTACACATATTCATACACGTACAGTCATACATCACGCGCACACATACATGATTAGAAGTACGATTGATCAACGCTAATGTAAGAATGTAACCTGTCTGCCTATGTTATGTAGGTGTTTTTTTACTGGAGGCTTTTTTGTATTGTAATGTAATATTTGTTGATTTGTTAGCAGTGTATTAGTATTGGATGGTGTCAGAATGTTAGTAATAATTGTAGTATCAATTCAAGTATTTGTTATGAATGTTTGTTATCGTAATGAAATTGCGAAACGATATCAATGTGTTCTAATTAAGTGTGGGTTTGTGTGTGTGTGTGTGTGTATCATCTTTTGCGTGGTGTATGTGTGTGTGTATGCATCTGCTTTCGGATGATGTGTGTACACATGTGTGTATATGTGTGTGTATTTGTTTCTTGTATGCTCCATGTACTTAACTTTAGTGTGATACATTATTTTTAAAAAGTTTACTCATTTGTTTACGTTTGGTTTACATGTTTAATTGTTCGTGTGGTTCGTGCCATCAAACATCAGTTTAATCTGTTAATGATGTTGAATTCTAACATTAACATTAACATTTCGTTGGTGTTGTTCTGCAGCTCCTACCATTTCTTGTGCACGGCCGCCTGCTGATGTACACTCGTACTAACTCATTTCATACTTCAACTTCACTTATACAAAATATGTTCTGTATGTTTGGAGTAAGTGTTGTTGGATCGAATGTTTCACGTTAAACATATGGGCTGCTTGCTCATTAATTTATCCAACATTGTATGTATTTATATTCTCTCCGCTTGCATGCAATTGTGTGTGTGTTTGTATGCGTTGTATGTTTGTGTGTGTTGCTGTGTGTATACATTTTACTACTGTTGGTATGTACTTTTAAAGTGGTCTGTTTATGTATTTGCTTGCATTAATGTGCTGTGGTGTGCGTGTTTATCTACTTTTGTGTGTGTGTGCACATTTCTTTACATATGAAATTATAGTGATGCATGTAAGTTATGTAATCGTGTGAAAGAGAATGGGGCGTACTCGTTGAGCGAATTTGTAATCTTCATATGTAGGAAACAACCTTGCATCATACGTTGAAATTGAAACTGAGCTGTTTGAGTGGCGGTACTTCGCTTAGTACTTTTTGCTTCAGAACAATCAAATTCCTCAAGTTCTTCTGCCTCTTTTTGGGACCGTCACTTTTGTTACCATCAATATTTTCATCATTATCATCATTTTCTCTTTCATCACCATCATAATCATCATTATTTTCTCTTTCTTCATCTTTATCATCATCATTATCAACAACATCTTTATCATTAACAGAGTCACTTTGTAATCTAATTTTTTAAAATTTCAGCAAACCGCATTTTATCGCGATAAACAACCAACGTAATAAGACTAAATGAATGAATGAATGAATGAGTGAATGAGTGAGTGAGTGAGTGAATGTTTCTCTGAAGGATTGATGCATTGATAAGGATGAAAGCAGGCTGAATGAAGGTTAAGTTACGTGATTGCAGGCTTTGTTCTGGTTCGGAAAATATTTGCGATTATGCTGAAGAGGGAGAAGAATATGAGGATGAAGAAGATGATGATGACAAAAATGATGTAATTGGTATTGATAACAATGGCGATGACGTGATGTTTGTGATAAAATATTTACTCATGTGTATGTATGTTTATTTTGATTTGTTTCGTTATTTGATTGAGAAGAATGATCAAATTAAATAAACTGGCGGACGTTGAAAGTCCCTCCTGCTCGCATTTTTCAAATTTTCAATATTTTTTGTTTATTGTGTCAAATTAAATCACACAAATACACGAACACACACAAAAACTCACTATACATATGTAAACACATATATGTTAGAGATTAACCGAATAGTGAATTTTGAATAGGAGCAATGCAGCCGAATAGTTAATCTCTTATTTGGTCGAAGCCGAATGCAAAAAAATCAACAATTTGGAAAACAAATAATATTTTAAAATGAAAAACAAGCTTTTGAAAGACAAAGCAGCAGACCTATCTAGAAACTCCTGAACGAGAAATTATTCAACCTCTTCGAATTCAAATGTTCAACAGATATGAAGACCAAAATAAATTTTCCGCTAATAAAAAAAGTGCTGGTCGTTATAAATATAGCAACATTCGACCTTTAAAAATGGCCGAATAGACAAATGTCAAATTTCGGCCAAACATGTTATTATTTGTTTTCAAAATTTGGTGCGTCTCTAATATATGATCATCGTCATTTGTGTATACATACACGCACACACACACACAACACACACACATATATACATATACAAAGAAACATACAAATACACTGACACCTACACACGCAACAAGGATATGAAACAAATGTGCAGTTTTGAATGTTATCTGCTTGAAATGTCTGCTTCGCTATCAGCATCCTTATCCTGGCATTCTTTAAGTCGGTCAACTAAGTTAATTGATCAACTACATACTTCGACCTCTTAACCATCATCATGATCGTTTTTATTTCAGTATTGTCATCATTGTCATTCAAGACTATTGCTAACCTCGTTATAAATTTAATCATCGTCATATTATCATATCTTACTTGTTCGCATTATCGTCATCATAAATCCCGTCGTCATCATCATCATCTCATCATTCTCATCATCATCCTAACCCTATCATTATCGTCGTCGTCATCATCACATACTCCATCCTCATCATTACAACATCCTCACCACATCACTCCACTCCACCAGGCAGAGCATTTGAAATAACGTACGTAAAGATTGCCTTCCACCTGAGCAGGCCAGAGAGTTTCGCCATCTACAAGAAGATGTCCCCCGATGGTTGGTTGGCCCCCGTTAATTAATTAATTAACATTATTAATTCTATTGTTATTTTTTAATTGTTATTGTTTATTTTTTTATTTATTAATTTTTATTTTTTATTATTATTGTTTTTATTGTTTATTGTTATTTTTATAGTCTAAATTTAATTTGCATAATATTGCGACCAACATAATTAATTAATTAATTATAACATTCTTTGTTTCATCATTAGAAAGTTTATTTGTGGGCATTTTATTGATTTCCTCATATCGCATAATACTTCTCAGATAGTTCCATTGAATTTTCCACCTAACCCTAACCCTAAACATTCCTTCGGTGGTTAACGGTTGAAAGGTCCTTATGCACTCCTCCAAAGTTCAGACTTTCAGAAAAATCAGAAATACGCAAACAGCATATTTGAATGAATACGTGCCAAACGACGCATCAGACACAATGTATATGATAAGTGGCGATATTTTTGTCATATTCGAACCTGGGCACTGATACTAACCCTACTGTCCGCACTACGAACCAGAATCAGGCGACCTTAACCACTAGGCCACCAGGCCACTCAACATTCGATGGTGTTTTTGAGTTCGTTGCCTCATTTACATCACCCACTTCCATCATTTTTTTTCTATATCATTATCAACAACTAATTCATCAACCACTAATCATATCATTACCCAAATAAGCATCATCATTATCAATTATTATCCTAACCCTTACACCACCCCCCCATCATCATGACATCATCACCATTCAAATCATCATAACGTAACTGTGACATTATCATCGTGACATCATCATTCTTCAAACTACCAGGTCCCTGGATACCCTACCAGTTCTACAGCGAATCCTGTCAATCAACCTACAACCTTCCGAAGAACGAGAAGATCACGGATATGAACGAGCACAGAGCCACGTGCACCAACGCCCACAGCGGGATCACCCCCCTGGTAGGGGACAGGGTGACCTTCAGTACCCTCGAGGGCAGACCGAGTGGAAAACATTTCCATGATAGTCCGATGCTCCAAGTTGGATGTGTTTTGTTCTGCGTGGTGGTGTGAGCGGTTGGGTCGATGTTGTTTCGTCGCGTTCATCTTATCAATAATGAAGAAAGCAGGACTTTTAATTCAGAATAATCTCAAAAAAATAAAATTGTTAAGGTAATAAGATTAATGAATATTTATGATCCATTTTATTATTGGTATATGCGGCTTGTGCATTTCATAAACAAACTCCGCACATCCCTAAAAATTGTAGGAATGGGTGACGGCCACTCACATCCGAATCGCCCTGAACCGGATCAACACCCTCGGAGACCAGGCATTCAAGGATTCGAAGACCATGCAATCCTACTACTACGCCATCTACGATGTTGCGATTGGAGGGAAGTTAGTGGCGGGGCAGCTGAACTGATGATGTGATGATTGTCATGAGATGATGATAATTGTCATGATGATGATGGTTAGGGTTATGGTTGTGATAAGGAGGCAAGTTGTTTGTGACGCTGATGGATTTCGAATGAATGATGATTATGAAAATGATGACTCACGATGAAAAGTGAACAAGATGACCATAGTGATGGTGAGATGGAAAAGTTGAGGAGCTTATTTTATCATGCCGACTGAGCTTCAACTGCTTTCCGATTATTTCATCAATTCCAATCAACTTTAGGCGAATATAAAATAATAAAAAAAAACTTTAAAACAATATAAATAACAAGATATACATAATTAATAAAGTAAAGAGATATAAACAGTGATATAATTAATTAATTATTCATACAGAACAAATAGAACAACTTCTGATGGATGTTATTATTGCAACACATCATTCACACACACACGTCAAGCACATAGTCCTATCCAAGTGTTTCATATCCACAAACCACCACATATCACACGTCAACACACCGGCACTTCTCCAACCTACTCACGCCACTCCCCACCAGTGAGGATGAACCTGTGTTTTAGCTTTCGTAATATTTTAGAATAAAGGGCATATTCACTGACGAAGTTTGATGAATTGTGGCCACGGTGATGTTGGTACATCTTTTAACGTTGTACACCCTGAGCGGCAGAACTAACTGAACGGTCGTCAGCCACAATTTTTTGGACTTTTTTACAGTTACGCTGAATAATTTTTGCGGCGCAATTTGTCCCCTACTCAACCAGATTAACGAACAAGTACGCATACACACACTCACACATGTACATACCCAGTGGCGGACCTGGAGGTACCAGGGGTCTACGCCCCAAGTTGTGAGCTGTTGTGTTAAAAGCCAATAAAACTCAGTTTTGTGTAGAAAAAGCAGCAATGTTTCATGTGATAAATCGACAAAAAATTGACGCGACAAACAAAAAAAAGGTAGCTAGTCTAATTTTAAGCCGCACTACAACAAATCTCGACGCCCCGTCAAAATTAAAGAGTTAAAAATTTAAACATTTCCCTCCTAACTAAATTTTGATCCCCCCGTCAAAGTTGCTAAATCCACCACTGCATACGTATGCACGCATACACACACTCATACACACACACTCATACACACACATACATACACACACATACATACACACACATACATACACACACATACATACACACACATACATACTCACACAACTACGCAGACGAGCGCGCATACTTTTAAAAGTACAAGATGATAATGAATGAGTCACTGCATCTAAAACTTTACGTTGTTCGTTTCAGCTAGGCCAGCAACGATACGCCTGCGAGTACTTCTATGCGTATGTGTGAATGTGTATATCTTTGTATGTGTGTATGTGTTTACGTTTGTACGTATGCAAGTATGAGCGGTTGTATGTGTGTGTGTGCGCGCGTATCTTTGTATGTACGTATGCAAGCATTAGAGGTTGCTTGTGTGTATGTTTTGTTTATGATTGGTATTTATGTTTGTATTCATTAAATTATTTACATTATTTATTTATTTATTTTGTATTTTTTAATTATTCATTATTATGTACTTATATTTATTTTTATACAATTTATTATTAACATTCACTTGTACTAATTTTTCAGCTATATATATTAGCTATACTTAATTAACATTTACTTTTCCATTCATTTAAAACAAGCCCATGTAATTAAACCTAAATAGCACTTCCATTGTTTTGGAATAGAATTCCATATTAAAGAGCAATTAATGAACAATATTAAATAACATTCACATTCCTAACTAGCCAACCCCATCATCGCATCCGTCATGTATGTATATGTATGTATGTGTATGTATATGTATGTATGTATGTGTATGTATGTATCTATTATTATTATTATTTTATAATTAAATTTATGAAGCGCTAATTAAAAGTTAAGATCCTCAAAAACGCTTTCTGCAGTAGACATAACAATTAAATTTCATAATGAAACTTAATTAACTGAAACTTCATCAATGTTATCGATTCGACCGTTGAATGACCAGACCACTCTCTGATTCGCACATTTTCAGACCGGAAACTTGCTTTGGTAATGATATCTGAGAATTCCTTACAACACAGTCAGTCAGAAGATGGCAATGGATCGTTAGACTTTTCCTTTTTATCTTCCTTGAACGTAGGGTAACGCGAAATAACACCAGCCTTTACCAACTTGTTAACTCAATAATATTTTTAATTGAATCATCAACACGCACAGCACTGTCTTTTTGAACTAAGTTTACTTTTCGTGCACTACCGATAGCGTCGCTTACGTTATCACTATTCTCAACAGGATTCGAAGCGGTGTTTGCATCGCGGCGTTCATGGCGTGTGTTGGCAAGCTGCTTTACACTATTTTTAGTGCCTATCTGTAAATTTTTATTCCTTTCATTCACATTTTCCACATCATATTTATTGCGTGTCTTGCAAGCTATGGAACATTTTTTTGAATGCCCACCGGTATGGCTGTGGCGAAGGAACTGAATAATGGCCGGTTTCTTGTCGCTCAACTTTTCGTTTGCAATATCATAACAAAAGTGTCCGGCCAGGCAAATGTTGGAAATATATTTTCCGTATCGCTGTCGAAAACATTTTTGACAGCACCAAGAAACTGTTTACTTTCATCAGAATTTTTAGATAAGTCCTGCGGTTTGAATGTCAATTTTTTTTGCTTTTCATAACAAAACATTTCGACTTACTACAATGTCACGACTTTATAAAACTTCATTTTCGCAACTTTCAAAATATTATTATCCAAATTTCCATCACAGCTCCATAAGTAGCACAATAATTCAAAATTAAATTGTCCGCTGTCTTCTATCAAAAATGTATGTATGTGTGTTTGTATCAAATAAAATTTTGTATTTATATAGCGCCAATTATAATTGCTTCTCATCAGTGCTCCCGTATAAGGCATGTTGAAAGCAAAGCCATCATCGGTGGAGATCACTAGAAGTTAGACGTTTTCTAAACTCAGCTAATGGTAACCCGGATATACGTAGTTCGATCGGTAGGCTGTTCCAAAAAACAGGCCTAGCAACTGCAAAATCTCTATCAGCTGTTTTCAGATTCCGATCTCTAACATACAGCGTTTTTGAATCAGCAGACCTTAGACGCCCATGTGATGACATAAATGAAACTAATACATTTATCTTCTAAATATTTCGGAGCCAGACCATTCAAACTTTTAAATACTATTACACCCAACTTGAACATGATTCTTTGTTTAACACGCAGCCAATGCAACTCCTTTAGAATTGATGATACCTGATCAAATTTTAATTTGCGATTTATCATTCTAGCAGCCTGGTTCTGGACCATTTGAAGTTTAGACAACAGTTTATCAGCTATACCATATAGGAAACTGTTACAATAATCCAATCTAGAGTTGACGAAAGCATGTACTAATAGAGTCATTGTATCTCTATCTACCGATTTTGTGACTTGACGTAATTGACGTAGTTGGAACATACATTTTTTAACCAATAGATTGATTCGTGGACCCATTGTCATACGGGAGTCCATCACAATTCCCAAATTGGTGACAGTTTTACTGAAACTTATATCAGTCATGCTGATGTTAATCGATGAAGGTTCAACCGCTGACGTTTGTTGCCATGTACCAGCCAACATGAACTGAGTCTTAGCCTGATTCAACTTTAGCCTACTTTGACCCAGCTACGAGGTGACATCAGATATAGTTTTTGTCAGTTTTTCGAACACGGTAAGCATCTCATCTGGCAAACATGAAACACATATCTGCATGTCATCTGCATACCCATGGCAATAATAACCACCTTCATTCAGTAAATTCAGTATCTCTGCAACGTACAAATTAAAGAGAATCGGTCTAAGAACAAATCCTTGAGGCACCATACAGCTTTGTATGTATGTATGTATATATATATATTTATAGAATATTGTATATATATATATATATATATATGTGTGTGTGTGTGTGTGTGTGTGTGTGTGTGTGTGTGTGTGTGTGTGTGTGTGTGAATGTATTCATGCATGTATATATGTTTGTATGTAGGTACGTACGATGTATCACCATATCCATCAGCTTTCTTCTAAGATTCATTAACAATTACAACATCAACAAAAACGCACGCACTAATACGCAGACATATATGGAAGCACATAGATACACCGACATACACAAACACATAAACATACATATACAAGTAAACATACACACCGACACACACATACTGTGATACACGCCAACACATGAACACACATACATTACACATGTATATACAAAAATAAATTTTTTGAATAAATAACTCGATCAACAAATTAAGAATTGACACTGTTGCATTGCATACAACACATTTAAAACAAACAAAACGAACACAGACAGACAAACAGACTGGCAAACAGACATTGTATGCGTTCAACGCTTAAATATAAATATGCATGCCTACATATATACAAAACAAACAAACATACCTACGTACATATGAATGTGAGTACGTACGTACATACACTCATAGACACATACATACATACATACATACATATATACATACATACATGCATACAAACAAACCAACATGCATTCATACAAACAATCAAAGAAACGTAGGTATGTGCCTATACAGAAGTTTGACGTATATACATGTAGAGTTAATTTTTATTTGTATCCACATTTTTTACTCAATTTATATAAAAAATTATTAATTTTAATTTTTCCTGCTAACTTTTAAATATTTTTTGAACAAAATCCCATAAACACGTACATTCGACTGACTCAATGCAATTAATTATTTCATCATTAACACTTATTTTCGTAATTATTTTTATCAACTGTTGATCTTGCATTACAAACACACAAGCGTACAAAGACATGCAAATGTATACAATAAACAAACTCATGCATACGCGCAAACAAATACAACAAACAAACAAGCAAACTAACAACGAATGATATCCACCTTAGATGCAAGTGCAACGGCCACGCGAGCAAGTGCGTGGACAACGCCTGCATATGCGAGCACAACACGACGGGCGAGAGCTGCGAGGCCTGCCAGCCATTCTTCGTCGACAGACCCTGGAAGAGAGCCACCAGGAATGATGCTTTCGAGTGCAGAGGTCATTGTTCGATGATGATGATGATTCTGGTTTGGTGCTGATGATTATAGCTAGAATAGTGGATTACGACGATAGATGTTAATTAGATTAGGAATGATGTTGATGATGGCGTTGATGATGTTTGGGAATAAGGATGATGGTCATAGTGTGAATGATAGTTTTAAATACGATGATGGTCCTGATGTGACCGAAACATCACTTGCAGCTTGCAACTGCAACGGCCACTCAGAACAATGCATATTTGACAACGAACTCTACCAGCGAACTGGTAGTGGCGGCCGATGCCTCAACTGCAAGAACCACAGCTCAGGTCCGCACTGCGAGCAATGTAACGTCGGCTTCTACAAAGCAGCAAACAACGTCTGCAGACCTTGCGCCTGCAATTCCACTGGTCAGTTTTCTTCATTCACCAACTAACTCCTTAATTTTTCCCAAAAATGGTTTCAAATAATTAGGAACAATCTCATAAACTTCAAGTATTGCGATTGATTGTAATGTTACTCTGCAGAATATATCCATTACAACGTCGTTTCTTATTTAATGAAACATCAATGAAATAAAATTTTTGTTGTTAAGGATCGAGAAGCGAGCACTGCAGCGAGCGGGGGGTGTGCCAGTGCAAGTATGGGGTGACCGGGGACAAGTGTGACAAGTGCCTTCCCAACTACTTCCTGTTTGGACCAGATGGCTGCAAGTTCGTTTTCAGTTGATATTTTGTTACATTATAATAATAAATTAATTTCTTTTCATTTATATAATTGTTTATTTATCGATAAATTACATTCACACGTCTTATCACTTTTGCATTTAGTAGAGACTTTAAAGTTTGTATTAGCGCTACTGTAACGTCATTACAAAATTATCACTACCGTCATCATCAGTCATCCTCGTCATGGTCATCATCATCATCATCATGGTCATCATCATCATCATAGTCATCATCATCATCATAGTCATCATCATCATCATTATCATCATTATGGTCATCATCATCATCTCTCAGGACGTGTGAATGCCTAGCAGCAGGCTGCCAGAACAACCAACCTGTCTGTCTGAAAGGCTCGGGTGTTTGTCAGTGCAAGGAGAATGTGGAGGGGGACAACTGTGATGTGTTAGAGGGGTGGAGGGTGGAGTGGGGGTTGTGGTTGTGGTGATGATGATGATGTGATGATAATCATGTAATGATGATGTTTATTATTAGAATTATCATGAATATTGTTAACGTAATAATAAAAATAATTATTGTTATTATTATTAATGATGTTGTTTTAACTTTAGTTATGTTATTGATTGGAAGAGCTGGTAATAATGAGAACGTGCCGGCGTTGGTGGCCTGGTGACAGCGATTGAATTGTTTATTATTTTGTAGCAACGTGGCAGTGATGTCATAATGTAATAAATGACGATCCCTAGCTGCAAGCCCGGATTTTTCGGGATGAATCTGGACAACCCACTCGGCTGCCTGCCATGTTATTGTTACGGACACTCGAGCAGGTGCACCTTGTCGTTGGGATACTTCATGCAGTACATCCACTCGGACTTCCAAAACGGTGCGCTTTTGATTAACTATTTTAGCCAAAAGTTCCAACTAAATATGATGGTTATGTTATTCAAATTAGAATATAATTTTATATTTATCATTATTGCCATCACGTGAACCATGCCTGCGTTAAATAAAACTTAGGAGCTCAGGGTTGGAGGGGCATGTCAGGGAGCGATGTTGAGGTCCCCCTCCAATTCGACCAACACAGACGTGCCGTCCGTCTCAGCAGTTCTCGTCATGATGCCCAAGTTTATTTTGTTGCACCAGGTCAATTATTTATTTATTTATGGTGTTTTTGTTATTATATTTTTAAAATAATAAATTAATATACTTCAATTTTTGTTGATTTTTTTAAAAACTTCTGTCAGATGATTGCATTCGTTATAAGTTATTTGCCCAACTTGAATTATTCCACCGTACACAGATAGGTACATTGGCAATCAGAAAAACAGCTACGATCTTTATTTGACTTTTGAACTTCAGACCAACAATGACAGGTCATTGACCTCCCCCACCGACATCATCATCGAAGGAGTGAATGGCCACAAAATGTACACGTCCTTGACCTCACAGAACAACCTCGTCCCCAGGACAGCCAATCAAAACTACAAGTTCCGCTTGAACGAGTATCCAACTTATGAATGGAGTCCCAAGATGTCCACGAGAGAATTTGTTGACATCCTGAGCGACATCAAGTCCATCAAAATCAGGGGCACCTACTCGCCGAACGGTGAGGTGTCTGTAATGTTGTGGGGGTGGTGGTGGTTGATGGTGGTGGTTGATGGCTGTCCGTGGGGACGATAACAAGAGTGAGGTGTGAGGAGGCGTCACTCACACCTGCAGTAATAATTACAAAAAATGAAAAGAAAAATTTTATAGAATGTAACTACCCTTCTTCACAAATTTTTTGTCGCACAAATGAAGATTAAAAAAACCGCCATCGAACCAGGCGAAGGCTTCTTGAGCAGTTTCAAGCTGGAGTCCTCGGCGGCATCTTACGGACACCGACCTGCCACGAACGTGGAGAGATGTGAGTGTCCCGTGGGGTATGTTGGTCAGTTCTGCGAATCTTGCGCCCCTGGCTACAGGAAGGAATTTGGTGGGAGTAGTCCCAAGGAGAGATGCATTGAGTGCAGATGCAACGGACACTCAGATTCCTGTGACTCCGCTTCAGGTAATCTGGTCACTTCGGAATTGCTGTTCATATTTATATTTTATTCAGTTTTGATTTATAACTAATAAATGTCGTTTTTTAATTAATAAATTGTTACGACACGACCTGTCTCGATGTGGGTCGTCCCACCATGTCTCTAACCACCACCACCTTCTTTCAGGTCGCTGCATATGCCAGCACAACACGGTGGGCAACCAATGCGAAATGTGTGCTCCTGGTTTCTACGGCAACGCCCTTCGAGGCACCCCGCACGACTGCAAACTCTGCCCCTGTCTGGACAACGGGGAGTGCATGGAGAAAGGCGGGGAGGTGGTGTGCACCAAGTGTCAAACTGGCTACGCAGGTTCGTTTGCCGAGTTCTCTAATCGTTGAAGTGAACAAAACAATTTAAAAGAAAAAAAAATGTTGCTTCCGATCCACAAAAAGTAGATGGATACTTTGAGATGATAGGTGTACATTTCGTGATTTTTCAAACTCAGGTAAAACGTGCGGCGAATGTGACGATGGATATTATGGAGATCCAACGGGGGTGAGGGGGAGGAAGAGCCCGTGTATGCCCTGCCAGTGCAATGAGAATGTGGACCCTAACTCTATCGGCAATTGTGACAGGTGGGCTGATGTTCATGTAACTTATTCTTTTATGAAAATTAATAAGAAAATTGGTGAATAAAAGAAATATAAATTAATTCAATTGTTCGCTGATGGATTGATTGATTGATTCATTCGTTTTTTGATTGATTCGTGATTAATTTATTCATTCATTACTTTAATTCAATCAGAGATTTGTTAATTTGTTGGTTCATTGGTTGTCATTAGCTTGTATAAACACACCAGAAAGTGAATGTTGAATTAAAACAAACAAACAGATGGACAGGCGAATGTCTGAAGTGCATCTACAACACAGCTGGTCCTCACTGCGAGCACTGCCTGCCCAACTACCATGGTGACGCCCTAGCTTATCCTAAGGGGCAGTGCAAATGTTGGTGCCATCGTCGTCGTCCTCATCATCATCGTTATCATTTTCATCACCATATCACTTACCACAACAACAACAACATCCCATCATCAACAAACACAATTCCATCAACATTATCACTATCATAGTCATCCTTCTTAACTGCAACATTATTAACCCATGTACTTTTTTTATCGTTATCATCATCATCATCATCATTATCGTATCATTATTATCATCATCATCATGATCATCGTCGTCGTTGTTGTTGTTTGTTATTGTTGTGGTAATCATGGCATCGGAATCGTTCATAATTTTTCCGCTTCCGACATTTTTCAAAATTTTAAATTTTTTTGCTTCGACAGGCAACTCTCCACGTTTGCGTTCAAATTTTAAATGAATATTACAAAACTGTGATCTAACAAATTCGAATAGATTCAATTAAAATTGGTTAAAGCAGTTATATCGGGTGTTTTTTGACTGAGTAGCAGCTTCGTGGTTGGCAAATTTTGTAACAGCAAGCACTGAATGGAGAAACATTCAATATTTGTAAAAGTGATTAAACTGAATCTAGTTAATATCATCGTGATGTCTGTGTGTCGTTATAATAGTTGACAGGGAAATATGAAGACATGATGCATTTTAAGGACATTGGGAATAAGGACTGTTGAGCGAAAGTTTCCATGGCTTGATCGTCTGAACGTCAGTCGAAACGACTTTAAACCTAAAATGAAGGCAGCATGCAACGATGGGACATGGAATAGAAAATGGTATGAAACGCTATCGCAACATTGAAAAACTGAGAAATTGCATCAAGACAAAATCATTCCATGGAATGACAGCCTGTTCATTTTGAAGTGCGATTTTTTTTGAGTTATGTTCAAAAAACTGCTCGGTCGGCGGGTTAGTTCAAACAAGTTCGAGTTCAACTCAGTAATCAGCACTGCCCCGCCCATTTTAAGTTGTGCAAAGCGCACCATTTTTTAAAAAAATTATTGGGTGCGTACGTAAGATCCAAATAATTTCACAAATATTTCTAAAAATTTTCGCATCAGCATCGTCAACATAATTGTCGGAATCGCACATTCGTCCCCTTCACTTCATCTTCACCATCATCATTTCGATCATCATCATCACTACCACCACATATCACCACATCGTCATCATCACCGCTGTATAATCATCATCATCCTCATCATCATCCTCATAACCACCAAACAAAACCAGCTTGCCACTGCCACCTGCCCGGCACAGCCTCCCAGCACGGTGACCCCTGCGACCTCTACAGCGGCCAGTGCGCCTGCCTGCCCAACGTCATCGGCCTCAAGTGCGACCGCTGCGTTGATGGCTTCTGGAATATCAACTCTGGGAGAGGTTGTCATGATGATGGTGGTGATGGTGGTGGTGGTGGTGTTGATGATGATGATGAAGAGCATGTGGTGATCATGGCAATGGTGCTGTTGTTATTGTTGTTGTTGATGATGATGATAATGATGATGATGATTAGGATGATGTTGGTAAAGGTGCTTTGATTCAAAGGCACAAACATCTCGGCCTGAGTGCGCGGTGTGTGTGTGTGTACGGTGGCAATTTACGAGTGTTGACGTCGGCTGTCGTGTGTTGTTGTTGTTGTTGTGGTTGTTGTTAATGTTGTTGTTGTTGATGATGCCTCAGAATGCCATCGCATTACAATACATTACCTAACAATGATGGTGATACCCCTACCATCCAGGTTGCGAGAGATGTCGTTGCGACTACACCGGCTCCTTTAACTCGTCGTGCGACCATCACAGTGGACAGTGCCACTGCAAGCCAGGCGTCACTGGCCGCAACTGCGACAAGTGTGACATCAATTATTATAAGTTCTCGCAGACCGGATGCACACGTTTGTTACTTCTCTTAATATGACTTACTTAACTTAAATAATAACAATAATTATAACAAATAATATTAACAATAATAATAATACTATTATTATTTAATTAGTAGTAGCAGCAGTAGTAATAGTGGTAGAAGTAGTATTTTGATGTTCACATTAATTTTCATACCTCATGGGCAGTGTGACCCCTCTGTGAAGAACTTGTTGTTCAAAATGAAATGAGAATAAATAACATTTGATAACATTAAAACAAAACACACATACGCACACACAGCACATAACTTACGCACTTGAATGCTGCATATAAATCAGAATATAACAACAACAATAATAATAATAATAACATGAAATATTAATCAAAATAATCATAAAAATAGTAATTTTTGGTGATAAAAAATTGGATTGTTTTAAAAAATAGATTTTTTTTAATTAATTTAATTATTTTGTAATTAAATGATGACCCCGATGTTACTCTGGATGGACGATAATAACAACAATAACTCGCACGCACGCAGCGTGCCACTGCAATCGCGAGGGCTCGCAACACGAGCAGTGTGACCCCGTGACTGGCAGGTGCATCTGCAGACCGAACATCGAGGGCAGGGCTTGTGACCGCTGCTCCGAGAACAGGTACCTCGACGAAAGGGGCTCTTGTGTTGGTCAGTCGCCACTTCATTTCTAAATTTTTTAAATTATTGTCAGTGTTATACATCAACAAGAAGAAGGTGCATGAAAATTTATTTCCAGAATGTTCGGAATGCTACACACTGATCCAAAGGTCAGCCAACGAAATCAGAGTGAAGGTGAACGATTTGCGCATTTTAATTCAGAAGATTCTCAGTGGGGCGGAGATTGGCGACGACGCTGAAATTCGCAACAGAATTTATTTCTTGAACCAGTCCATTAGCACGCTCTGGTTGCAGGCAAAAAATATCAAAGGCGGAACTGGAGGTGGCTGTTGATGTTGCTGCTGCTGTTGTTGATGACGTTGTTGTTGTTTTTGTTGTTGTTGTTGCTGCTGCTGTTGCTAGTGTTGTTTGAAATTTAAAAATTTGTTTGGCGCTTTTTCAATCCTGATTTCAAAATAAAAAATAATCTTAAATAGGCAACGAGAACGAGATTTATGAACTGACGCGAAGGATTGAGAGCATACAGCAGATCATCAACGAGATTGTCTACAGGATGGGACTTGCAAGAAATAGTTAGTATCATACTTTGTTGCACAATTACTGAAGTATTATATGTATATACATGAGCAACTGATGGCCTAGATAACAAATTAATGGTCGTCTTAAGAAAGTCAAGGCTGTTTTTTTTATATAAATTCTTCGAAACAAACTCACGCCGTCAGACAACGAGCGGGCGAGGGATGAAATTGCAACGGCCAACAACATCCTGGACATCATCAAAAACTCATTCTCCGATCTCGACTACAAAATAAACGAAGGAAAAAGATTGTTGATTCTTCTGTACGAAAAAATGCGTAACTATGGTTACGGTTCTGATCAGCTGACCAGGATGGCTAAAGAGGCCAGGAATTTCGCCGACAGGTTGGATCGAATGGTTGATTGAATTCATTGAGCGATAATATAAGAAACAATAGCGATTGAACGAAATGAATGAATAAATGTGTAATCAATCTTGCAATTTATAAATCGTAACTAGTTAATGGCAAAAGAAATGAGCCTATAAAAACTAATTTAATCGCAGGTCTCTGTTTATATTTCCCTTATCTTACACCCAACTTCTAAAATTTGACCAATCACATCATCCGAGGTCTAATACCTGGCCAATCACATTTGACCATTGCAGACACAGCGAAGAATCACACCAAATTCAGCTGATAATTGAACAAGCTTTGCAAACGTCAGAGGAGGCCCTAGCAACCGCAAACTCCATCCTACCTGGCCAGGACGGGGCTGAGCACAACATCTACTTTATCAAAAAAAGGTCGGTAGGTCGCAGTGACTTTACGAGTTTGGGATTTTCCATCAATTCACTTTTTAAGTTTTATGATTTGTACATTCATTCAATTATTACTGCATCATGTAAGTTATAAAGGTTTCACTCATCATATCATTCATCCACTGTGGCATCAACCTTCATTCCCTCATTCATTCGTCATCATCGTGTCATCATCAGTCATGGTGTCAACACTCATTTTTTCATTCATTCACCATAGTATCGACTTTCATTCATTCACCACGGTACCCACACTCATTCCTTTATTGACTCAGGATAGCGAAACTGAACGAGGAGATGACGAAGACCTCCTCAGTGACGACATCCTGTTGGGAGGACTCTCTCAGACTCCTGAATGAAATCACCATCCTGGTCAGGGATATCCAGTCCATCCAAGTCGATGGCTCCAACGTGCAGCACCTCAAACAGGAAGTTGACCGCATCAGACAGAAAGTAAGCATCCAATGACGTTCTCCGTCTCTAGACCTCGGATGATATGATTGGTCAAATTTTATATGTGCCCCGTCTCATACTTGTTTTTAATGCTTGCTTCTGCATTTGTTGTATTTTTGTTATATTAATATACGTACAGTACATAAGCCCACACGCACACACTCACGCGCACAGAATAATGTAATAGCAGCAATAACAATACGTGCTTTTTCGAATGCTTACTTCTGCTGTGTCACAGTTGGTTCGTAGTTCGTGGGTTCGTTGGTTCAGTTGTGCACATTTTGAAGGAACTCATGTCAGGGCCATCTGCTCGTTTTGGTTCTTATGAAGAATGAAAAATAAATGATTATTCATGCAATGTTTAGTAATTAGTTAATGAATGAAAAATAATTAGTGAATATTAATGAACAATAATTGATGAATATTAATGAACAATAATTGATGAATATTAATGAACAATAATTGACAGACTGAACATAAAAAGTTGGAATGGGAGTCATTGAAGAGGGAGAATCATGAATTTGTTAGAAACATCGAATCCGTCTTGCACGAAGCCTTCATGTTGGTTAATATGTTGATCTCTGAAAAACAGGTTGGTTTCATGTTGCTAGTGTGTTGTAGATGTTGTTGTTGTTGTTGGTAGTGGTGTGTTGTTAATGTTGGTAATGTGTTGTTGTTGTGTCGTTGTTTTTGATGTGTTGTTGTTGCTTTTAATGTGTACAAATCAACAACATTAACAACAATATCACTAACATCAATGGGCGGCGCGATGGTGTAACGGCTAAGGTGCCTGGCATTGTTGATGCAGTGTCCGGGTTCAAATGCAAGAAAAAGATCCCCGCCTATCACGCGCAAAAATGTGTGATGCGCTGATTCACGTGCATTTATGCACCGTGTGTTTGTTGTAATGATGATAATGCGCCTCAGTCGCTTGCCATGGCACAACATACAATAACATTATTATTATTATTATTATTATTATTATTATTATTATTATTATTATTATCAATCACAACAACATCAACATTACCCACAAAATCACCCCTACAGTTCATTGACGAAACGCTGGGCGATGCGGACGCGTTGCATGACAGGGCTCTACGTGCCAGCGAATCATCACATGAGCTATACGAAAAAATCAAACGCACACTAGAAATACTACTGCGTATGTTTTTGACAGTGCTGTTAACGTTGTTGTTGTTGTTGTTGTATTGTTGTTAAAGTCATTGTTATTGTTGCCGCTTACATCGATGTAGTTGTTAATGTGGTTGATAATTAATTTCTTTCCATTGTTCTTTTAACATTTTACTTGCCCTTAAAAAAAAATTTGAACTGACTCACCGGCTGGCCAGGGTACGACGAGGAGATGAGGATCAAGGAGGCCCGGGCCCAGGAGGCTCTCAAGAAGAAACCAAAAATCGAGTCAACTATCTACGGGGCTGAAAAAAATATTTATGAAGTAAGAGGTTTTGATGATGGTGATGATGATGAGGAAGATGAGAAGGATGGTGATGATGACAAGGATGATGATGATGATGACGTCTGAGTGTTGATGATGAGGAATGAGTGGTGAGAAAAAAATGAAACAAGAACATGATGATATTAAATGGAATGAATGAATGAGAAAGATCGATATTTTTTTATTTCTTCATTACATCTTTTATTCATTAATGTTTTTATTCCTTCCTTTTTTCCTTCATTCATTTTTTTCTTCATTCATTCTTTCTATCATTCATTTATTTATTCATTCATTTCTTCCTCTCGCAGGCTCAGATGAAAATTAGTAACGCAGAGATAAATGCAGACACAGCTAACAACGATGCCGACACGATAATCAGGATCATTGAGGAGTCCTTCAAGGTGAGTGGGGTGTCACTTGATGGTGTTGGTGGTTGGTGATGATGATGGTGTTAATAACAGTTATAACATCGATACCTGTTAACAGTTATGTAATAACAGTTAACAGGTATCGATGTAGTTGCTGTTGTTGTTGTTGCTGTTGTTGTAGTTGTTGTTGCTGTAGTTGTTGTTGTGGTTGTTTTTGTTGTTGTTGTTGCTGTTGTTGTAGTTGCTGTTGTTGTAGTTGCTGCTGTAGTAGTAGAAGTAGTAGTTTTTGTTGTTGTTGTTGTTGCTGCTGCTGTTGTTGTTGTTGGTGAAAATATTATAAAAAATATTTATAATGTTGTTGGGGATAACGATGCTTATATGAACGAAGATGTATGTTGTTGTTGTTGTTATTGTTGTTGTTGTTGTTGTTGACAATGATGATGATGTCGATGATGATGATGTAGCTGATGATAATGTAATAAGACAGTAGCTATAAATGTGATAATGATACTGACAATGATGATGATGTCGATGATGAAAATGATTATTATATCTATGGTGATTATTGGTAGTGATAAAATAAAATGCCGATGAATGTTGTTGCATTGTCATATGTAGTACTAATTGTCTTCCAACCAATGAAACGTCAGAGACTGGATGAAATAGAAAGAGAAGCCATGAAGTCAAACGAAACCAGTGAACACATTCGGGAAACCACTGTCAAGGTTGGCTCTTTTCATTCTGTCAATCATTTAATTAATCATTCTGTCAATCATTCAACTAATCATTCTGTCAATCATTCATTTAATCATTTTTTCAATCATTCAATTAATCATTTGTGTAACCATTCAATAACCAATGCAACAATTAACAATTTTAAAATGTAAACCACTGATGGAGTTAGGAGGTTCAAACTTTAACTTCCCACGTTCTACTCAGTAACATACGCCAACAAAATGTTTTTAAAAGTTCACAGAACTTTTTAAATAGTATTCATGCCATTGAATGAAACACTACATAGAATTTTTCAATCACATCACGTGTCACAAATTTGTTAGCATTATAGCCGCTGCGCCGAGCCATACAAACATCCTTGTGAATAACCACTCCTTCCTCCAGTTCAATATCTCTGTATCACAATTTAACATAATCTGTAGGAAGGTTTAGCCGGATTATAACCTGCATTTACCTCGGAAATAAATTTTACCCTAGTATCAGAACATTTACTGACAAATGTTTAAACGTTTGAGTTAAATTTATTTACGCTCCAACAATCACATTTACTCCAATGTTTTAAATAATTACCAATTATTTTTATTATTCAGACAAGAATCTTTATATTGAAACGCACCATATATATTCGCCACTATCAACAAGCCATCCCAGTTCAACCATCAATCATCCAATTTTAATCATTCGATCGTGTAATTTTCGTTTTAAATATGTTAAAGTTTTATTTTAATTTAATGAATAAAGTTAATTGAATAATTTTTGGCAATTATTTGTTTAATATTCACTATAATTAATTATTTGTTATTTGCACACAGTCGACATCAAACATCGAAGCATTAAAGAAGCAGATCGATGAGATGCATAAGAAAACCATCGAATGGGAGGGTGAACTAAAACAGGTTGGTTGGTTGGTTGGCTGGTTGATTGGTCGGTCGGTAGGTTTGCTGGCTGGCTGGTTGATTGGTAGGCTGTTAGGTTTGCTAGCTGGTTGGTTGATTGGTTGGTTGATTGGTTTGTCGGTAGGTTAGCTGGCTGGCTGGTTGATTGGTTGATTGGTAGGCTGGTAGGTTTGCTGGCTGGTTTGCTAGCTGGTTGGTTGCTTGATTGGTTGGTCGGTAGGTTTGCTGGCTGGCTGGTCGCTTGGTTGGTTGATTGATTGGTAGGCTGGTAGGTTTGCTGGCTGGTTGGCTGGTTAATTGGTTGGTTGATTGGTTTGTTGATTGGTTGGTTGGCTGGTTGGCTAATTTATTGGTTAGCTGGTTGATTGATTGGCTGGCTTGCTGGTTGGTCGGTCGGTCGGTTGGTTGGTTAATTGGCTGTTGTGTGAACTAAGAATAAAGAATAGAAAATAAACAATTGATTGACTGGCCGACCTGAACTGACTGACTGACTAATCGATCAATTTTTTTCGTGTATTCATCACTTCTTCATTCAATCACTCATTTCATTCCTTCATTAACCGCCAGGAGTCAGACGCAACTGACTTAACGTTCTTTGATGTGGATCAGCTGACACAGAGGGTGAAGGACATGGACTCTAAATTGGATACATTCATAAACCAATACGGTTTGCATTCCGTTGTTGTTGTTGTTGTTGTTGATGTCGTTGTTGTTGATGTCGTTGTTTTGGTTGTTGCTTTCTCAGTAGTTGCAGTGGAAGTTGTTGTGATTTTTGTTGCAGTATTTTTTGTTGCCTTTGTTGTTATTGACATTAATATTATTTTTATTTATTGATTTTTGTTTGATTTGATTTGGTGAAACAGATTCGAATTTAAATGATTGTTGTTTTTTTCATTGTTGTTGCTGTAATTGTTGTTGTTTCAGTAGCCAGCGGTGTTGTTGAATGGTGGTTGTCTTAGTTGTTAATGTAATAAGATCGGTAATAGAAGTGGTGAAGTTGGTTGTGGTGGTTGTGGGGGCCACGGTGCTACAAGTATTGTAATTCTGATTTCGTAATTTTCGTATATCAGATGTTCGTTTCATTAAAAGATAGTGACGACAGTTAAAGGTCAAAGGTTAAAGGTTACGCTCACTCTTCTGCGTTTGCTCCAGAGGTTTCAACGACAAACACACACAGCGTATATGAATACGCGTGCAAACCATGCATCATACACATTGCATATGATAGGCGGGATCTCTTTGTATTCGAACCCAGTCATTGCAATAGCAAGACCAGGCGCCTTTAACCATTGAGCCGTCATAGTGATAACGGCAATGATGATGATGATGACGACGAAGCCAATAACGATGATGAGGACGAAGATTAAGATGATGATGATGATGATAAAAAAAAGCGGAAATGATGATGATGGTGATGATGATGATAATGATGGTGATGATGGTGACAAACCAACAGCGAGTCTGGAGGACTTGGACCTGGTGATGATCAATAAGGCGTACGAGTTGGTGAGTCGGCTCGACGAGAAGTTCACCTCCTTCGACTGGTACAACAGGTTCAACCACATCAGAAACATCGACAGCAGGGTAGGGCACCACGATGATGATGATGACGATGATGATGACGATGATTTTGATTATTAAGTACGACGATGATTATGGGTATGGTGATGATGGTGACGACAATAATGATAATGATGTTGATGAAGAAGAGGAGGAGGATTCTGGCTGTGATGAGGACGATATTATAATGATTACCACAATACCACCATTGTCACCTTCACTTCACCATCCACCTCATAACCCTCACGCACTACACTAATCACCCCAACATCACCACAACAATCTTCAAAACCACCACCCCCCCCATCATCAGCTGGAGGTGTGGCTCACCCATTACGAGTTGATTCTACAGCAGTTGAAGTTGGACATGGACAACGCCAGACACATCAGCCTCGCCATACCGAGCATGTGCTTCAAAATCACCGAACTCGAAATCAGCGAGTGGAACAGATAGTGGCTGGCGATGATGATAAGGATGATGATGACGTTGTTGCTGCTGTTGATCAAGTTGTTTGTGCTGACGTACATGGTGGTGATGGTGTATGGTGGTGATGATGGTGGTGATGATGTGGATGATGACGAACGACAATCACAACAATGCTGGTGATGGAAATTGTTATTAAAACTTCGAACCGTTTGTGCTAGTGATGATAATAAAGTTTTGAATTTGATGATGATGGTGACACGTTGTAGTAAAGATGATGATGATGATGACGATGGTAAAATGATGTAATGATGAAATGATGTGACGATGACTGCAGTGATTACAACAAATGATCATCTAATAGAGAAGATGAGGAGAAATTAAATTATTTTATTTCTGTCACCTTTCCTCTTTTCAGAGATGTTAGATGTTAGATTGTTCCTCTCTGATGGACTCTAATGTTTCAAATTTATATTCTGAATAATTTTTAACGATGTTTCTAAAACTATCAAAATATATTTTATTGTCATTTTACATTTTGATATCAAACTTTTTAACATTTTTTAAACAGCATCAAAGGTTTGGATATTTTTAATTTTCAGTTTTTTGGGTACCATCATTCTTCAGCTCAGCTGCTTGTAACCTTGCTTGGTGGTGCTAATAACTTATGTGCGTTAGGCATCGCTGCATCCAGCTCGTCGACTGGCGGCTACATTTATATTTTGCGGTGGTCAGTCGCCCATGCACATCGATGTAGTTCATTGTAGGCCATCTTCTTTCATACTTTTTGTTCATTATTAGTTTTTAGAGGAGCTCTCTTTATTTGAATTCATCAGTATTTAGAGTTGGATTTTCATTTGTTTTAAATATGGAAATAAATTTTCAATTTAATTGTCTTTGCGTTATTGTGATTATGATGATGAAACAGTAACACATGTAGAAATCGTTACATTCCCCATCTTTATTTTAAAACATTCGTGGTGTTTTATTAGCGAAATAATTGAAGTTCTAAATAAAATTTTATCGAATAATTTAACAAAATGCCTTAAAAGACCAACCAAAAAATGTTTGCCAGTTTTATATAATTTAAAAGCACAGAGGAACATTTTTCATTATTTCACGGAATTTGCAAAAACTATCAGCCACATCGGTTGACGCCCCTGTTAAATTAAAGAGAACCAAAAGAACTAATGCATTCCACCGCAAGGACGTGAATCCTTTATTCAGTTTGCTCTCGTGAAATCGGGAATTTTATTTTATGGAAAATGCATACCGGATACTCCGCATCTTTCTTACTTTCCCTAGATTTGTCATTAAGTTTTTGTCATTACTTCAATGTTGCCAATTCTCATCTATATCTTGATCTTCTCTTATTTTCATGTTCATTTTTTATGTAGTTCTTAAAAAAATTAATCTTTTTTATGTGCTACCTCTAGAACTACTACTTATTTGCTGATGATTGCTTAAAAAAATTAATCTTTTTTATGTGGTACCTCTAGAACTACTACTTATTTGCTGATGATGATTCCTATTGCCATACTTAGTTTTTTTCAATCCAATCTATAATTTTTCTTAATTCCTGCAAGACACTTCGTTGTTAAATTTTTTTCACGGAAACTTTTTTCATTTCTTTTCTATCTACTTCTCTAGTTTTTATGAATTTCAACAAAGCTGATCTCAAGACCCATCTGTTTGATAACTTCACCGGAAACTAGAAATTGATGGGTTAGTTTGTTGGTTGGGTGATTAATTGATTAGGTGGTTGGCTGATGCATGAGTGAAATGTAAAATTCCACGTTTATTGTACAACTGCTTGCGTATAATTTTAATTTAATTAATTTATTTGCTTTCTTGCTTGTAGTATTTCATCAAAATTTTCTATCCAGTTGTTGTAGTGGTAATCAATAGAACCTGATGGCGGCTGCCAAAATGAAATGTATGTAAAATTAATTTTAAATAATTATTTGAAATTGATAGAAGTATAAATTAAGTTGTTCGTAAATATGACATGCTTTAGTAGAATATTATTGAAAAGTTAAAGAACAGATATGCAATCCCAATCGTATTAAAAAAAACTAAACCTAGGAATCTTAAACTGGAATCGTCCTATCGTATTTCTCTCATTGTATGCTCTAACGGGAAGCAAGAGAAGCAATGACGTCACGCATCCACTATAGTTGATGCAGGGGGACTCCTGAAGTTTTAAGTGTACCGTTTACAGCGTAAAAATACAGTGTAATGACGTAATTGATTCCGGATCAACGTTAAGATCAAACGCCCTATTTCACCCCATTTCAGTTCACTTTATTTTATTCATTATTACATCACTTCAATGTTAATAATTTGAATAGAATCTGTTCCAGATATAAAACATCCAAATACCAATTAATAGAAGTATTTGCAATGCACAATCACGAAAAAGTATAGTTGAACTATTTAGAATCTTTAATTAATGGAAACGTGTTTCTTTTTAGTTTATCCATTTCAAACACACAGGCATATATTATATATATAGTTACATATTCGTATGAGGTCGACGTCGATGTTGTCATATAGATAATTGTAGATTGTAGACGATAGTTATTTTTGTTTCGTTCTGTGGAAATATCGGTTGTTCATTTGGTCTCTCTTGGTTTGTTCATTTCTTTCCTCAAGTTTCAATCTTTTTCATCTTCATTTTTGAATTTTGACTAGTTTGTTTTGATTTGGTGGAATTTTTTTAAAGTTAGGTTAGAAGTTAGAGTCAATTAACGCCCGGTAAAGAATAGAAGATCCATATTTTTAAAAAAATCAAGATTCATTAGTACTTTAAAATTTAGTAAAAGAATAGTGAATAGTCTTAAACTTAAACTAAAAAAAAAAAGTAAAAAAAGACAAAGAAAAAGTCATAGCATAACTCACAAAAAAAACTTTCTTCATCTGTTTATTTATTTTTGCTTTATTTTTTGTTCTGCCAAAAAACTGAAAAAGAGAGGATAATGAAAGAGATGTTGGTTGGTTTTTTGAGTGCTGTGTTGACGGCAGGTGTCATATTTAATGCATTCAATCAAAAGAAGCAATTCTATCCATCCGTCGTCTACATCACCAAGTCAAGTCCAAGTATGGCCGTGAGTTCTTACTCTTCTATTTTCTTACACTTTTACAGAAACCTAGTCAGTGTCATCATTTCGTTATTATTTCAAACTATTAAGTTCCTATTTTAACAACTTTGTTCTTGTTCTTATTGTTTAATTTTTAATATTTATTAATATTAATTAACTGATAAGAAATTTAAAATTTGCCAAACAGATTTTATATGCCCAAGCTTTAGTACTGGTTGTCTTCTTGGGAAAATTTATGAGAAAAGTCTTTTTTGGTCAACTTAGGCCAGCTGAGATGGAGGTTTTTAATTAAATTGTATTAATATATAAAGTAAATAAATTAATATATATATATATATGTGTGTGTGTGTGTATATATTTTTTTTATTAGCAGTTTAGAAAATTCATTAATATAAATTAAAACTTGATTTCAGCACTTGATTGAGAGGTCATGGTATGCAGTCACTGAAACATGCTTAGCATTCACAGTTTTTCGTGATGACTTCAGTCCAAGATTTGTGGCACTTTTCACAATGTTATTATTTGTTAAGTGTTTCCATTGGCTGGCTGAAGACAGAGTTGATTATGTTAGTTGGTTTTAATTTTGTAAATATCATTTCATATAGCAATTGTCAAATATTAACTTTATTAAAATATTTACTATAACCATTGATGTGCCTTTTACTATTTGAAAAGATTTCCAAAAAAGGTGTGCTAAAGTAAGATTTATTTTTAGAATTCCTTTAAAATTTCTGTTTGAGACATTTAAACTTTTAAAAGTTGTCAAATTTTAAGGTTATGTTAATTAACCAATAAGAATTCAGTCATAGTCTTTGCAATGATCATTGCAATGAATTGTGATGAATTAATATTTTGGATGATGCCTAGTTTATTTCAGTTTTGGATTTTATAGAACAGTTTTTGTAAAATCATAACATGGTGTGGATGTGACAAATTATCAACAACATATTTTTATAAAATGTTTCATGAAGCATAGGATAATTAACATAAGTCCATTCAGTGTATAAACACATGAGATTATTTGATGTTTGTTTGAGGTACTCGTGCATTGATGGAACATTTCACTTAGATAGATCATTAAAGTGCCATGCCACGTTACCATTGACTGCTTTTTGTTTGTGGTAGATGCTATTTAATTAATTTTTCGCTTCAATAAATTATTTTCAAACATTTAAGTGCTGTTAATAAATAGCATAACAACTAATTTTAAAATAATAAAAAATTGCTAAGAAAACTTTAAAAATTTGTATCTATGCATACGACTTCTATATAACCGATAACCTAACCTTACGCTAACCAGCTACAAATAACTTTCTTTTCAAAATTTTTATAAATTTAAATAAGTTGAACAGGCGATCAGAGTAACATATTTCCCAGCCTGTTAGCTTTTGACATCTATGATTTTTGTATGATTAACTTGTTATTTTTTTAATGTCCCTATTTTGCCATATTGTACAATGCAATGTACGGCCATACTATATCTCCATGCATGGATATTCTGGTATTCCGCAACTCAGGCATGGCAAATATGATTTAAGATTTTGTGTTTAATACATTATTCAAAATTAGATTACCTGGTTATTTTTTGAAGCTCACAACTTTTCAAAAGTTGCTGTGACACAGTGGTGAGTAGCAGTAGAGGCTGAGCTTAAGAAACCTTTAAAATAATGTTAACAATGCTCATCACGGTTTAACAATTATTATATTATAATCGTTTTAGTATTAAAATTGTTACTTGTTTTTCTGAATTACTCATTCATCAAGCTTATTAATGTGTTATTGAAAACGTGAATGAAAATAAAAATGAAGTTTCACACTGTAAAGATTTTTAATTTTGGTCTGTGTTTTCATCTGTTTTCATATTATTGTAAAATATAAACAATTGTTTTTTTTAATTAAATTGCTTGCTACTTTTTAATCTATAAAAATTAACCAAGATTTTGTCCATGATGATTTTATTCTGTTGTATTTTATTTGAGTCACTCAAAATTTGTTTTAGCATTTTAGCTTCTTTGATATTTATTTCGTTTATATATACATTTTCTAATTGTCAGTTTTATAATTATCCTCATTTAATTTAATTCACACGGGTTCAAAAACTGTTTGGAACAACACGACTCGTCTGCTGCGAATTGTTTTTATTGCCCATTTTTGAAAATTGATGATAACGTTGAAAAAGCTACCAGGATGACTAACTTGTCAATGCAGCATTGAATGTTGAGATGCACTGAGATTTAAACATGAAAACATTGAATTACGTTCAAGATGAACAGTTTCTAGATTGTGAATTAGATTAAATTACACCGTTGCGTGAATACTGATTTTTCCCTTGTTATATGATGCAGGTGTAATATTTAAATGGTAAAGTTTTTTAATTACCAGATGGAAAGAAGCCCGGTGATATCAGTTCTATTCCATGCCAGAGCCATTGGTATGTACTGTTTGCTGAGCACCATTCGTTTCTTCTTATAAATCATTTTACTGATGCTTATGACATTTTAAAAAATTAATCAGCTCTGTTGGCATTGCTGACAATGGTTGATCTGTACTTCACGAACCATGCATACCACAACACTTTGATCAAGGGTCCCTCTGTTCAACTGGTCTTTGGGTTTGAGGTTCTTAGCATTTCACAAAATTTAATTCGTTCATTTGTATTGTTTGTTTTTATCACCATTTGTATTGCTCTGTTAGTAGCTTACTAATATGGAAGCCAAATCAAGGCACCGTTCTTTCAATTAATGCAATAAAATAGCAGCTATGATGAGTAAATATCATATTTTTATTTAATATATAAATATATGTCATATGTATATTTATTTAAGCATTCACACACACACACACATAGTATGCCATTTTGTTGACCATGGTACTACACATCCTGATCAAGTACATGTTACACACAATCGATCGTCAGAATGAGAATCCATGGGAGAACAAAGCAGTGTACCTCTTATATTCTGAACTTATGCTGGGTAGGTCCTGTCTTTCATTTCATTGCTTGAAAGATTTTATTGAAACAATTCTTGCGAAATTCGCTTCCTCCTGACCTCAATCGTCATATTGGGTCAACCTCTTTGTGGTGTCTTGAATTGTCACTTTTCAACTGTTTGTATTGCTCACTAATAATTTTAGACCTGCCTAATAACTTGTCATTAATAATTAACAAACTGAATATATATATATATGTGTGTGTGTGTGTGTGTGTGTGTGTGTGTGTGTGTGTGTGTGTGTGTGTGTGTGTGCGTGTGTGTGCATGTAAGTAGTAACGAGGTTTTCGTTGATGCAAACGTCGTTTAAAATTACTGCCCAATAGGAGAAAAAAGCTTTTTAGTTATTTAATAATTGACTTTGACTTTCAGGTTTTCTCAAGGTCGTTCTTTACATCCTGTTTCTAATCATCATGGTGAAGGTTCACACATTTCCTCTGTTTGTGGTCAGGCCCATGTACCTCACGTTTAGGTTGATAGATGGATGAATTGATGTTTGTGGATAGGTTGATGGATGGTTGTGGATGGATGAATATGAATGAGCTATGACTATTAAGTCATGGTTAGATAAATATCCTAATTTAAGTCAGTCAGTAACTTTTTTTCTTTAATTCATTATAATGTTAAAAAATAAATTTGGAAGAGAATTCAAGAAAGCCATGAACGATGTCATTCTGTCTAGAAGAGCAATCCATAACATGAACACATTGTTAGTGCGGCTACAAATGTTCCAGTGTTTTTCTTATCTTCATATAATCTTTTTCCATTTCTATTTTCAATATTTCTTCTATGATTCTATTTTACATTTCTGTTGTACATCCTTTAATTTAGATACCCAACAGCAACACCCGAAGAATTGGCTTCTGGTGATAATGTGTGCATAATATGTCGTGAAGAAATGCACAGTAATGCAAAGAAATTGCCATGCAACCACATTTTTCACTCCAACTGCCTGAGATCGTGGTTCCAAAGACAACAGACCTGCCCAACTTGCAGAATGGATGTTTTCAGAAACACACCGGCATCTACTAACAACAGACAGCAGGCAGCAGTTCCACAGGCAGCAGCCAATGCCCAACAGCCACAGGCTGCTGACAATGTTCAACCACAGCAGCCAGCACCACAACAGATGCCACCTAATTTTCCTGGATTTGTCCCCAGTTGTTATTTATTTCTAATTATATTTGATGTGGTCTTTTTGTGATACGTTTATCAGTGTGCAAAACTTATGTTGTACTTAATTTACATCTTTTTCAACCCATCCAGTTTTCTTTCCACCTCAAGGCTTGCAACCAAATCCTTTGCCTGTCTCAAGTTCTCAGTCATCGTCGTCTTCATCATCGCTTTCATCATCGTCAACATCATCTCAACAATCATCAGCTGCTCACACAGCCACCACATCAGCTCCAGGAATTAGTTCCATACCACAGCCATTTTCTCTTCCATTCATTCCTTCTCCTCACTCATTCCTTTACCCTTCATCCAGCATGATGCCTCCGTATAGTTTTCCATTTGGTTGGTAGTTTTTTTCTGGTAATGGTGGTGATTGAGAGATACACTATTTTGACAAGATCATAATCACTGGGTTTAAAAAGTCATCCAGTTTAAAATTACTCATTTTACTTCATCTTGTTTGCAGGTTTTCCACCTACCTTTGGTTCCACACCATCCTTCCAAGTTCCAAACCTGGCTCAATTGACCGCCTTTGAACTTCAAGCAATGGAAGGGCAAGAAAGAAGGAATGTAGAAGCACGCATACAGTGCTTGAGAGATATACAAACGCTCCTTACAGCAGCAGTCAATCAGATGCAGCAGTATATGAGCGTTGTTGTAGCCACCACGGCAGCCTCACATGATCCTTCCCCGGTCAGCTTAGATGGTGGTAGAAGTGGAAGTCAGAGTAAGGACTCAAAAAACGATGTTCTTAGCAACAACGTTTTTAGCGATGTCAGTGCTGGTGGTAGTAGTAGCTGTATCGATGCTTGTAGTAGCAGAAATACTGAAATTGGTGTCAATGGCAACAGTAACGTAGTTATCAATGCAACGAGTAGTCATGTTGCCGCTAGCAATGCTGATGGAGCTGGCAGCAGCTTTCTGGGTACTGATGAAGAGACTGCAACCCAAGAGAATAGAGATGCTGGTGCCAATGTTGTCAGGAATCTTTCTGAGATTGGAGAAAATTTAGAAGGAAACAAAACAAATGTAGTAAAAGAACATCAATAATGTTGAAAAAAGCATATATTTCACGAGATTCGTTGCCCTCTGGTGAAATTGGTCAGCGGGGTTTCTATTCTAAATTTATTTCACATGTCATTAATGATCAACAGATGGTAATTAATTATTTGCTTGTTTGGTTGAGACTGCAGACTCTGCACTTAATAACATATTTCAATATAAGTACGTACTTATGCATGTTTGTGAGTGTGCACAACCACGTTTCATCAATTTATTTCATTTGATTCATTTTAACAAAATAATTTGTGTAAATTTTTTTTTAATTTTTTTTAATAAATTCAAATTAATGAAAATGTGACTTAACTAAACATTCAGACTAAAATGGGTGAAAGAATATATAAAGTGGCTACAGCATAAAAAATTTTCCTGTCAGTCAAGATTTTTCTTGCATAGTGTATTTTCACATATCAGACATGATTTTTCGACGAGTGTTCAAGATCTAATATTTTTTAATATTCTTGAGAACAACACAAATCAATGTTCTGATGTTTTTATTTGTTCTTTAAAAAATTTTATTAATTAATAATGTTATTTGATGAGTAATAACTTAAAAATCATTAGGCAATCCAAGGTGATGGCCGGAAAGTTTTCATGACAAATTCAATTTTTCTCTTCATCTCGGAGTTGTATATTCTTTTGCATCGCTCCAAACTGACTCGTTTTCTTAGTTGGTATGGTTTCTCATAATACATGTTACGTCGAGCTCTTTCAAGCACTTTATCATTTCTTAAAATTCTTTGAAAAATTTTTTTTGCATTGTAAAAAAAACATTAAATATTTGAAATTAAGTCTTGCCGAGCCTATTTTCTATTACCTATTCAATTAATTTTCCTTCTTACAGTATGGCAACATAACCAAAAGCCTGTAGTGTAGCTTTGGTTTATGACTTATCTTATTTCTTATGTAATAAATATATAATTATAATATATATTATATAATAATGTATTATAATATGTATTTTATATTATGCATCACTATTATGTATGACTATACTTCAGTTTATGGCATACTATTTTTTCATAAATATTTTGCATAGCCTAGCCTGAAACATCATCATAGGTAAAGTATTTATTAAAAAAAAAAATTATATACCGTTAAGAAATTCTAAGCAAAAGTATCCCAGTTTTCTAATTGAATTGAGTGGCTTAGCATTAATTTAGTAGTCAGGTTTGTTAATCGCTAGTGTAGCTTTATATTATAGTTTACATCCAATTTATAATAGTTTATTTTATCTTTATAAATAAATACTAGCAACAGTCAATAATAGTGGTTGAGGTTCGTTAGTGGTTAGTCTTTTTTAAAGAAGTAATTAGTAAAGTAAAGCAATTTAAATTTTTTTATTTAATTAAAATCTTACTTGTCTAGAGCTTTGTAAGCGGTGTCGACATCATTATTCCTAACAAGAACTGTTCTTGCAAAAAATTTTGCATGATGAGCCATGTCCGTGAGAAGTTTAAACAAACACTTTACTTTTTATCGGCTTACTGTGGAACGAAAACAAAAACAAAGATATCAAGTTCTGTTTGGGCTTTTCTGTATCTATGCTTACGAAGTGTTTCTTTATTTATATATATATATAATATGTATATATATAAAATAAAATGTATAAGGTTTTTACGGCAATATATAAAAAGTATAATTATCATATATATGTGCAAAATATATTCATTATATATATATATGTGTGTGTGTGTTTAAGCATATACGCAATTGATTAAAAATATATTGAAAATATTTGTTATAATACATATATATATATGAATATATAAGTATATAGGTCTTGTCTTGTCATTAACCATCCTCGATTCGAGGTAGGCTGCATCATGACCATGTTTTTTCCAGATAACTCCGTCCTTCATCTTAAGTATTAGTATATATGCATTTATCTTGTAGTTTGTCATTGTTGTCACTCACAAAATTTTTTTTGTTATTTTCACGCCGTTGGAATTTTTTATTTTTTACCGTTCTTTTTTTCATATATTCTTCATGATTATTCTAAATATATGTATCTGTTGTTTTATGCATGGATATATATCCATAGTTTTATGCTTAGTTCATAATTTCCTTTGCTAGTTTGTTGTTTTTAAAAGTAAACTTTAAAAGATGGCCGATGCTTTGAGCATTTTAAAGCAATATACAATCGACAAGAAAATAAATGATATTATAGAGAAGGACGATCAAATTATTTTTGGAGATTTTGCATGGCCGAAGACAGCTAAAACAAATTATCTAATCTACGGGTAGGTGTCATCTTTGTTCTTTCAATTTTTTTACCATTACTAGATTTTTATTTTTGCTAATTTACTTTTTGATTTTTTTTGTTAGAGAAAGCCAAGTTTTTAAAAAATACAGTATAAAGTTCATACTATAAACTATAAATAATTATTATAAAAATTTACAGTAGCCTTTTTAGGTAAAAAAAAACAAGTCATAAACGCTTTTTTATAAAGCATTGATTAAATTAAAATTAACAAAAAATTTAAATGTATTATTAAAATTAAATGTATTTAATTTATAATTTAAATAAATTTAATTAAATTGTAAGTTAAAACTTAAAAGTTAAGAGTAAGATTAGAAAACACAAAACATAAAATTAGTAAGTAAGAGTAAGTGAGTAAGCAGTAAGAAGCTGTTGAGTTGAAAAGAGTAAATGATAAATATTTATTTAACTTATCATTATCTTTTAATATTTGTAACAAAACAAGAAGAAATAAACTAACCACAACAGGACAGGGAAAGATGGAATTGCCAAAGATTATTACACATTGGACTGCATTGTCTTCCTCTTGAAAAATGTACACATTCCTCATGCATCCTACGTCAAGCAGGCCGCTGTTAGAAACAATTTTTTAATTTTTTTTTTCTGGCTTACTTCTCTCATTTTTTTATTTATTGTGTATGACTTGTGAAATGAAAATTTTAACCAATTAAAATTATTCAAACTTTGTCATAAATATAAAATACTGTTGATGTTGTTGTCTGATAATTTTGTTTTTTTTTTGCTATTATTGAGTCGTTTTGCACATCTGACATCAATCAGGCGGCCAGTGTGTCAGTTGTTCGTCGTCCAGATAGGAAGGACATGTTGTCATATTTGTATGGGGAGGTCTCTTCACTATCCAGCATCGACAAAAGTGCCCCACTAGAAATTTCTCTCCAGAGACCTGTTCAGTGTAAGATGTGATTCCTGTTGTTGTGGTTGCTATTGTGGCGCTTGTGGTTGCTGTGGTAGCTGTTGCTATTGTGGTTGCCATTGTTGTTGTGGTTGCGTTACCATTGTTGCTGTTGCTGCTGTTGTGGTTGCTGTTGTTGTTGTTGTTGTGGTTTTTGTTGTGGTTGCTGTTGTTGTTGCTGTTGCAGGTGATATGCTTGATGGATTAGGTATGTTAGCCTTTCTTGGGTTCTGTTGAAACCTCTTCTATGATATTTTCATTTTTGATTGACCAACTGCTTCAAACGTAGTCTCACTACTTTTTTATTATTATTCCTTTTTTCACATCAACTGAACTCTCACGGATTTAACAATGCCATCAAATGTTGACTGTCAGTCAGACGTGTTTGTGTGAATTGGTGGGTGTGACCACCTGGTGACATGTGGATATGATGTGCTGGGCAGATCATTTACATTGAAGCGTATTCAATTATGCTTGGCTGTAAATAATAAAGAAAGAGTTTGTCTTGTACAGTAGAGCAAACTTAAAATGTCGTTTAATTGTTGAATTATGAAGTTATTCTTATGAATGAACTTTTAAGAAATTGAATCGTTTTGCTGATTCTCCTGAGTGTTGTAAATTATGATTGGACAGTGAAGAGAGGTGCTGAAGAAACACTCGGCGACCATGACAGCAAGAAGCCCAGGATCGAGGCTAGCGGCAAATTTTTTTAAAACATTTTCTTCTATTCTATGTCATTCAAATGTTTTGCTGGCTGGCTGGTTAGATTTGGAGTAATTGTTGTTGAATTGATGAGCAGGAGGCAAGTATGGAGAAACACAGAGTGAGACTGGCCATGAAATTGAGTTCACCATCCAGGGAGGAGTCAGTCATCCCTTCGCAAGTCATGTACGCACTTTACTTATTTACTCACATTCGTTCACTTCTCGTATTTTTCAAGTTTCAACTTTTTGAATTCATTGTTACACGTGACATTTTAAAAATTAGTTTGTATAAGAATGTAGTGATTTTATGTTTAAATTGAAAATGCTGATGATCCAACAGCAACAGTGACTCGACGATCTGTCAGACGATGTCCATCGAGAAGATATCAGCCATCCGGGCGAAGATCATCGCACGCAAGCGTAAAACAATAAAAGACGACATGCTGGATGCCGAATCACATGCGTACGTCGAAGTCGGAGTGGATGTCACCCGAGACATCATCAGCAAGGAGAGGCAGTGGAGGACGAGGACCAGCATTCTACAAAGTTCTGGGAAGGTGGGTTGATGATGATGATTGTGATGATGATGATGATGATCTAGTGTTGTAAGTTTCTGTAAAAATTTTAATGAATGTTGTGTGATTGTGTAGATGATGACTGTGATGATGATTGTGTTGTGTAATAATGCTGAAAGCAGTAACAGAGTTGATGATAATGATTCAAGAGATATCTCTGGTGAGGATGATGGGGTTTGGAATGTTGAGGATGGTGTGTAATGTTTGTTGTTTTCAGTAATAATGCTCCAATTAATCACAAATAACTATTTAAAATCCCAAAAACAGGATTTTTCCAAAAACATCTTTGGCATACTTCAGTCTATAAAAGTGAGAGAAGAAGGAGCCATAAAGCAGCAGGTTGAGCCAAGCAGCAACAGCAGCAACAACATCGTTAGCAGCCAACCATCCTCAACCAATCCCAGCAAACCAGCAATCCAACCAACTTCGTACAGCAGATATGACCAAGAACTTTTTCGCAACAAAGAAGAAACTGAAGGATTCAAAATCGACACCATGGAAACTTTCCACGGCATGACCTTGAAATCTGTAACAGAGGGTGTATCAGCCAGGAAAGTTGTCGAGGCAACGAGCACAAATCTGGGAACCCAGCATGCAGCTGTTGGTGCCAACATCTCTAATAACACTGTTGCTAACAACGTTGGCGGGATGAATAATGGGACGAGCAACGGGGGTGCAAGGCCCATTTCTCAAGCACGACCGCCAGCCAATCAAAAGAAAGTATCAAAAACTCCAATCATCATCATCCCGGCTGCCACGACCTCCATCATGACGATGTACAACGTCAAGGATCTCCTTCAGGATCTCAGGTCTGCTGCTTCTACCATTTTTGCCATTCATCAATCAATCCATTCATTTGTTTGTCATGTGTGTTTCACGAGGTTGCCTTGCATAGCAGTGATTAAATGCTTCAGCTTTAATGAGCATTGACGTAATGAGCGGTGTGAATGGACATGACGAACGACAGGTACGTGAGCGTTGAGGAGAAGAAGAGTCAGGGGGTGAAGAGGGACAACGAGGTTCTCTTGCAGAGGCAGAAATCTGGAACGACCTTGACCGTTCCTTATAGGTGGGTACTGAGGTGAATGATGGTGGCGGTGGTGAGGTTGATGATGATACGCCGACGGATGCCATAACCATAATGGTGTAAAGTTCTCAATGGATGTCATAATCATAATTGCTGTCATAAATGCAACTGATGTCATAACCATAATTGGAGTCGTAATCATATTTGGTTCTGTGATTACATTTGATGCTGGCATTTAATTTCATTTAATTTTTACACATGCACAGAGTCATCGACAATCCATCAAAACTAACAGCCGACGAATGGTATGCCCAGCTGATCATCATCTGCTTTGCACTTTCATTTGTTCATCCAGTTATTTGTTTTCACTTCATTCATTAGTTTGTTCCTTACATATTTTTGTAACGTTTCATTAGCTGTTTCTGGCATTCATTTTTCATTGATTGAACTGTCCAGAGGACCCCACACAAGGCATTAATCTTAATTGGTCTCTCTCAAAATCATTTGTGCAGTATCTAGAGATTTAATCTAATTTGATTTTGTTTTATATCTGTCTTTCTGATTTTGAGAAATGAACGAATCATCTATAACAACAACTTACTCTGTTGTTTATTAGTTTTTGGCCTGAGAATCTAGTAATTAATTAATTATTTAATTATATTAGTTATTCATTTTCGCAGTACAGGCATCCATTGTTTGATTTAATTTGATGTAATTAATAATTGCTGGCAGGGATCGAGTGGCAGCAGTCTTCGTGCAGGGTCCCAGTTGGCAGTTCAAGAACTGGCCCTGGGGTGGCAACCCTGTCGAAATATTTTCAAAAAGTAAATAATGTTGACATTACTTGAGCTTGATCATCATATGGCCTTTGATATTCAACGGTCTTGCAACATTCACTTTACAACAGTGAAGGCATTCCACTTGAAATGGAAGGAGTTACCGCTGGATGCTAATGTTCAGAAGTGGGCAGTGACAGTGTTAAGTCTTGATAAGCAGAGGAGGCACCTGGACCGAGCCACGCTCAAAACTTTCTGGGAAGTACTTGACAAGTAGGTTTCACTTTCAGCAACTGCCTTTTTCTTCTCCTTCAATTGCTCTTTTTGCTAGTTTTCTGAAATTTAAATATTTCCATGTAAAAATTGAATTTTTTAATTATTTTAGACACATGGCCAAGAACAAACCTCACCTCAGATTTTAAAAGTAACTCATCAGTCAGTTTGGAATGGAGAGGTACGGAGCAGAAACAGCAAGCAATTGAAATGTACACAACCACATATATCAGTTGTGTGTGTGTGTGTGTGTGTGTATGCGCGCGTGATAACTGTGTGTGGGATAACATATATGCGAACATTAATAACATATTGTCAACAATTATTTTTTAATATTACATTTTAATTATTTAAATTCTTGAAAATTAATGCTATAACTGTTAAATTATGATATATATTTTTATAGATATAATAATGGATATATATTTTTTGTCCTATATATATATATATATATATATATATATATATATATATATATATATATATATATATATATATCATAATTTAATTGGTGTAAATAAATCTTTTAACCTTTAAAAATTATTTATTCATGAATAATAATCTCATACAGTGATTTTGTTGTTGATAATAATGATCAGTATCATAGTGGAAATTAATAACGACAATGTGAAGTGCCCGTGTGAGTGTTTATAAGCTGCCTCAGAGAGGCCCGGATGTTTGTTTTATTGGCGTGAGTTTTTGACAATGCTGGGCGCTGTCCTAGCTCGGTTGGCAACTACTTCCACTTCGATGCGAACGTCTGAGATGACATGGCGACAACCATAACAAGTGGCACAAGTGTTCTGAAAATTCACTAAGGACCACTTCTATGCTTTACGTCCTGGTTATGACATTAAACTGACCCTCACTGCCTTGTGAGTGATGTAGGATCATCAAAGGCTAGGCCCACCGCTTATAACTGTGGTTGCGTAAGGAAGGGCGTCCTGTGTAAAAACTAGCCAAATAATAATACTTATGATGACGGAAAAAACAATGGCCCTCAGTATCCGGCAGAAGAGGGTGCGAAGAATCTCCGGAGACCCAGTCCATGGGGTTGTGGTGCAAGGCCCTGTGGATGGTCTGGCTACTGGCACCCCACTCTATAGTGTGGCGGTGCAAGGCACTATAGATGGAAGGACTACTTGTAGACCAAGGGGTTGGAGGTTTGGTACCTGGAATGTAGGCACGTTGACAGGAAGAAGTTTGGAAGTGGTGGAGGAGCTGCAGAGGAGAATGGTTGACGTGGCTGCATTACAGGAGATCAGATGGAAGGGTGAGGGTACAAGGTTTGTGGGGGCTAAAAGTGGAAGATATAAGTTGTGGTGGAAGGGGGATGATGGTACGGGAGGAGTTGGTGTGATGGTAAGAGAAGAGTTGGTGGAGAAGGTGTTGGAAGTGAGGCGGAGAAGCAATGGGGTAATTGTGGTGGTGATGGTGTTTGGAAAAGTAATAGTGAGGGTGATATCAGGATATGCTCCGCAACAAAGTAGGAAGGAAGAGGAGAAGGATAGGTTTTATGATGATGTTTCTGACGAGATCGGGCAAGCGGGGTTGAATGAGTTTGTGGTGTTGTTGGGTGATTTGAATGGTCATGTGGGGGCGGATGCAGACGGATATGAAGGTGTACATGGGGGATGGGGATATGGTATACGGAATGAGGAAGGGCGTAGAGTGTTGTAGTTAGCGGATGCACATAGCATGGTGGTGGGGAATACTTGGTTCACAAGGGAACCAGCGCGATTGATTACTTATAGGTCAGGGGAACATAGATCGATGATAGACTATATATTGGTAAGGGCCAAACATAGGAAGTATGTGAAGAATGTGAAGGCGATACCTGGTATGTTGCAGCATAGTATGGTTGTGATGGATGTGACATCAAAAGAAATGGGGAGGAGGAAGAAGGATAAGTTTGTGGCAAAGAGAAAGACATGAAAGTTGCAGGATGCAGAGGTGAGGAAGGCATTTGAAGTGAAGGTGGCTGAAAATTGGGAGAGTGGTAAGGATAGAGATGTTTGGGAGAGATACAGGGACTGTGTGTTGGCTACGGCAGATAAAGTATGTGGATGGACGAAAGGAAAGTGTAGGCATGGTGAGACGTGGTGGTGGGATGAAGATATAAGAAGGGTTTTGAAAGTCAAGAAGGAGAGGTTTAGGGTATGGAGAAGGGACATGACGGAGGAAGCGGAGTCTGAGTATAGGAAGGCTAAGAAGGTTGCAAAACAGGCAGTGGCAACTGCAATGACGAAAGCATCAGATAGGTTAATGAAGGAAATGGAATTTGATGTGAGTTCGAGGAAAATGTTCAAAGTAGCAAAGCAGTCAATGAGGGATAGGAAAGATGTTATAGGGAATGGATGTGTTTGGGATGGATCTGGCAAGTTGTGCATAGATGAGGAGGAAAAAGCTCAGGTGTGGAAAGCTCATATGGAAAGGTTGATGAATGAAGAGAATGAGTGGGATGGAGATGTGGAATCCGCGGTCACACACGGACGTATAGAGAAGGTGACGATGGAGGAAGTAGGGAAAGCAGAGAAATGAAACTAGGTAAGGCGACAGGGGTTTCGGAAGTGGCGGCAGAACATATTAAAGCGAGTGGGTGATAGGAATTGAAGTTATGATGAGAATTGCTACCAGTATGTTTGATGATGAAGGTATACCTGAGGATTGGCGACACAGTGTGTTGG